AACGGTCAAATAGGGGCAAATTGGTGTTATATTTTTTAGAGAGGTTAAATTTTCGAAATAGTTTAAAATGAAGGTTAATTTAGTAATTAATTATTAATTAAGGATGATAGGGTCAAAAAGCCTCAATCTCTCATGCATGCGTGCTGTAATAGCAAGTCCTGTGATTGGCTTGTTTCTTTGGACCACTGTATAGCTAAGTAGGTAACAAGTAGAGGAAAAAACAGCTTGCTGGCAAACCCCGCTACGGCCTACATCCCGTTCTATTCATTGCACAAACACTAGGCTGTGACCATTATATCAAACCCTAGTTGAGACTTCTCTTGCTGAAAGAATCTAGAAAAATTTAAATGCACAGAATTTATCTAAGAACAACAAACACATTGCATAAAAAGAAGCGCAAACCTTCTTCCAACATTGTTCGGAGACCAAGTCGACATGAAGTATGCTGTGATCGAGTACCCATACATAGTTCTATTGAAGAATTTAAATGTGATTGAATGAAGTCTCATATAAGTTAAAAATGGATTGAATGAGCATTATGTAAATGGAATGACATATAATATTAAGGTTTAGAATAAAATTGTAGTGTTTAAGCATATTTAATTTGTCATTTAGTCTATTGATGATGGTCTTTCCCTGGCATTGGTGTAAGTAATTAATGATATGTTGCAGTTAAATCTACAACCTTTGAGCTTTTTCTTTGCTGGGGTTAGATCTAAAAACCTTAATTGAAGTGATTAGTGAGTAATTAATCACGTTAATTTGTTTATCATTATACGCTATAGCTAGCGCAATCTTAAGACCTATAAATAATAATATTTCATGTCATTAGCGAATTATTAACCGTCCGATATCAATATTCACGAGTGCATTTAATTTGCCATGTCGGAAGTCAATTTCAAGTTTACAATGGTAAGACATGTGCTATCAAATAATTGTTGAACCCAACTCGAAGACAGCAAAGCAGAAATCCAATCAATTTATCACCCTAAAATCACATTATATGGTTTAAAACGTGCATGTTTCTCTCCATTGGCACGTAGAATTGCCATTCAAATCAATGTTACATGATGAGGCCTTTCTAGTCCGTCCTTCTTGTTTATTGTTGTTTACCTACTTCAACTTAAACTCCATTGTGAAAAAAAGAAAAGAAAACTGTCTTACGATTAATGTTTGATTTTTTAATTATTGCTATTTTAAATATAAAATAAAATAATATGAGCACATATTTTCAACAATCCCACAATATATCATCGCTCTTCTTCACCTAACTAGTGAGTATCATGATTAGTAAATAAATCTGCCCGTGCGATATTGAAACGGAATGTTAGACCGAAAATAGTACTTCGTCTGTATTAAAATAATAAAATTTGATAAAAATATAAAAAAATGATTATTACAAATTTATTTTAAAAAAGTATAATTTTATTTGGTTAAATTATTCTTCAACTTTTATTTCATTTAGTAAAAATACTTACAAATAATGAAAAATCAAAATACAATTATTATTTTAAGAAAAAAATATTTGTTTTTTTTAAATGACAGTTATTTTAGTTAAAATTAATATTTACTTTAAACAAATATTTGATTTTCTTTCACCATAATTTTTATTATGTAACTGTTTCTCTCATTATAAAATACAGTATTTTTGATTAAAATAACATAATTATATATCTTTTTAAAAGAGGAAATATTAATCCCTTATTTTAATTTTCAAAATGATAAATCATTTGAAATAAATTAAAAATTTTAAAATGGTGTTTACTTTTTTTTTTTTTGGGTACATAACTGGTGTTTACTTTGAAAAGGAACGAGAGAGAGAGAGAGTATTATGATGACCAGACATGATCCATGCATACACCACCGCCCTAAAATGAAGTCTCGAATTGTGCGCATCCATTAATCAGGGAATAAAACGTCGCTGGCATGGAACTATATTTTCGGAACACAGGATCTCAGCACCCGATAAAGAAAGGAATATAGAATTCTAAGACTGGGCATTTGATTAGACATGCTATATCGTCTACTCTAGCCATAAGAAGGCTCCTGTTCACCAGCACAAACATATCGTCGCCCTTACATGTTATAAGTCCCACGGTTGAAGGAGCAATTAACGTGCGATTTATAATTGAATATTTTTATATTTTAAGTTAATTTTTGAGGTGATGATTTCAAAGTTCATAACAAGTTATGCTTTCATTAAGCGTTGAGATCAAGAAAAAACCTACTATAAATTGAATTAAGGATATCATACCTCTCAAACGGTTATTATACCAAATACTAGTAGATGAGTGGTAGGCATATCATACCTATAATTATTTCGTTGATAATAATTATAAAGAAAATTTCCTAACAATAAGTAAGCATTCTATATGTATTATTTGCCAATCAATTAACACCTGAAATGATGATCTTGTGAAGCTTCAAAAACAACTACACTTTTAAAACAAACCCCACCATTTAATGGCCCACGTGGTTTTAACTCAAGTTGTAAGGGTGCAGTAAAATTTGAGTAGACATGGGTTTAATCTCTTGTAAATTAAAAAAAAAAAAAAAAAAACTCACCATATGAAATACAAGTAAAACTTAAATAACGGATGTTATCAAAAAAAAAAAAAAAAACTTAAATAACGGACACTTTTAGCATCCTTGTCTCCCACATATGTTTTTTAACATCTAATTATTGTCATAAGTATGTTCAAGTAAAACTTCTTATACTGCACTAATTAAATATATCCTTAACAAATTACACTAAAAATCTTATAACCACTTCTTAGTTCTTACTAGCTAGATCATATCATATACAATGGAGTGAGTTTGTGTAGAGATTCAAAAATCTTAAGTCATAACAACTACGATCTCATCTCAACATGTATACAGATAATAATAACACAACAATTTGAGTCAGAAGTTGAAAACGCATGACCACCATTCTTGTTACATCTTTATCTTTCTCAACGATAAGAATTAATACTGATCATACAATAAATGTAGAGCCTAATTATAGTTATAATGTTCTTCTAAATTTCAGTCAACAGCTAGCTTAAAGTTAATTGTATTTTGGACATAATATATATTGCTTTCACTTTTCATGAATAATGATTTTTTAATCAATGCAACCACTTATGAAGATTACTGGGGAAGTTTGGTAGAAGAAATATTTGTTTTTATCGAAAAAAATTTCAAGAATGTTGAATTAATTCTACTGATACTATGAGAAAATAAAAATACCACGTATCATATAGTATTTTTGTCTGGAAATATGATGTGTAAAATAGAATGATAAGAAAAAAAAATTCATGAGATTATTTTCAATTTTCTCATGCCAAATGTTGGAAACAAATTTGTCCCACCCCACTTTAGAGAACATTTCTAGGAAAATTCCCTTACCAAACAACCCTCAAAGGAAAATAATCGCATTACCCTTTTCAGGTTTGATCCTGCCTAAGAGGTTCAACTCTCGAGAATGAAATCTATTACCTTTAGGCAGGTGAGATTTTAGGCAATCCTTTTCAACACAATTGAAATTGAACAATGGTTATCTCTCTTCTTTGGGTGTGTCCGGCAGAAGTAAAGCTTAACCCTTAATTTTTTTTCCTTGTCTCGATGTGTCTTCCAAGAACCATAAAATTGAGTAAACTTTAATCACAATCTTAATATAATCAAGAAGATTGTTCATGAGTCTTCACAGAAAATTTTTTATTTCATTTCCCAGATATGAAAGAAGGGAAAACAACATAGGGAACGATGCAACTTTCTGTTAATGCTACATGAACACGATCAACACTTTGTAAAAGGAATCAAGAAGAGATTAGAGTGGGGGGATAAGAGAACGAAAGGAAAAGGAAGAGGTTATAAATACAAAAGAACAAAAGAATAGATGAAGGAGAAAGAGACCGCTATGTCTCAATCATGGTGAAGGTTGTGTAGCACATGTAATGGGTCAGTTATTACAAAACAAGGGAAATTTTCGTAAAGTTTCTGAATCTTCCTTATGAACTAAAACCAGCAGTCTATGAAAGGATCATTAACCCTATCATATCATATGTACCTTGACCTATATCACTGGTGGCAGTAGCCACTTGTATGCAATAGAACATACCTCACATGCACATACTTTGAGAAGCATTAAACATTATGAGCCAAAGAAGAATGCTTTCCCAACTCTAGGCTACATGGAATAGACATCCATGAGTGGGAAATTTTATTGTGTTTCAGAGAAGTAGTTGGGGTAAATGCTAGTTGTAATTCACCATTTATGCGTAATATATAATTATGCTATACGCAGATATATCGATCGATCCGGTGAAGAAAAAGGTATAGAAAGTAACTGGTTGGTCTCTGCGCGCAATGCATGGGAGACAAAGAAAAGACGGTGCCTGTTCCTCTCCAGAAATCGTGCAAAGAGTTAAAACAATGCTTTTTAAAATTCTATGTTTAAACAATCACGAAACCTATTTCGTTCCATTTTGATCCGGCAAGTAAACGGATAAACGGGAAAAAAGTGGCTTCGAGTTTTGCACCAACCAGAAAGATCACTGCCTCACTCAAAATTAACCCGGAAAAAGAAAAATACTATAAAGAAATCAAATCACCCCTTCCCTCTTAACATAACATAACAAATGCACACATCCAAATGCTGCTTCCGCCAAAGAAAACGCACCACAGCAAAATAATCAAAATGTATATGATCTTCCAGAATTGAAAAGTAAGTATTTCGATAAGAACAAAATAACACGAAAATCTGAACTGAGATTCGGACAAAAACAAAACAAAAACAATCCTTTAATTGCGTGCACCCTGAATCATCGTCGTAATCATTTGTGAACTCTTAACTAGTCTAGCTAGCAGCTACTTCAGCTGATGTTAGGATGGACATATAATAACCAAACACTAATCCTTATAACAGTCGATGGAAAACTAATACATGGTTTCAATCATTATTTATCCAAGAGATAGATAGATAGATAAATAGAGAGAGAGAGAGAGATGACACGTCTTTAGGATCTTGGGGGTGGGAAGAATTGCGTACCAGCCATGAAAGCATTCAACGAAGGCTGGTAGATTGAAGAGTCAAACGGGTTGCCGCTTGTTGTGGCGGTGGTTGCGAGACTAAGTGGCTGAGCTTCACCACCACCACCACCACCACCACCGGAGGAACCCTCACCATGTGCACTAGTGTAAGGACTATCAAGGCCTTGATCGTAGAGAATTCCCTTGAAAACATGCCCTCCTATGTTCACAGCTGTTTGATAACCATACCTCTCATCATTTGCATCCATTGCACTAACTTTCACACACCGAAACACAGCCGGAGAGTTAAGTTCCGGTGGAAATTGCCCCACTTCCAACCCTAATATGTAAATAACAATTAATCAACAAATTGAATCATCAAACTTTTCATGTAAATCATAAAAAAAAGAAAAGAACCAGTTTCAAGTCTAGCTAATTAACGGATCACATTCGTCAGTTTAACTTATTAACAGCGATGTAGTATGAGAAAAGGAGAAAGAGAAAAAGAGTGTGTGTGTGTGTGAGAGAGAGAGAGAGAGAGAGAGAGAGAGAAAGAGAGAGAGAGCGAGGTGATGGGTGACTATATGGAATGGAATTTCATTTTCAATGTGAAATGATATGGACCAGTTAGGTATGAGTCGTCATAGAAGACTATAATTCCAAAAGATCTCAGTGCATCTTAATTTCTCTAGCAATATTATAGACTTCACAAGCTATGTAGTTGAAAAATTCGTCCTGACCTATATGCTGAGACCATTTTTCTGTTTTTTTTTTTTATTATCCTACAAACTTTACCTGTGGTAGTAATAGGTACTGGAGCGCAAGCAAGAGAACTGGCACCAGCACCAGCACCTTGATGTCGTTTAGAATGATCTCCCCGAAATTGTTGCTGATTTTGTGGCTGCAACGACGCAAGTTGTTGTTGCTGTCGTTCACGGCGTCTGGCTGCAGGAACCCAAGTGCTCCTAACATGAGTTTGGCAATCAAACCCTCGGCTCTTACAACAAGTTCTGCATCTGAGATGTGAACAGTCTTTCTTAGCTTGGTTTCCACAGTCCTGACAGTTCATGCCACCACCTCCTCCTCCTAGACCTCCAGACCTCATGACTGTGAACCCAAACCTCGTAGAGTCATCAGAGAAAGAGACAGAGACGTCGTCGTTTACGTTGGAGGAGTTGTTGTTGCTGTTCCTGCGACTAGGACCCACCTCGAACGAGTAGTAGTTGTTCAAGTTTTGGTGTGGGTGATAGGACTGCTGCGGCCATATCTCGAATCCCTTGTTGTAGATCTCCTCGTTCCTCAACAGGAATTGGTTGGTATTACTGTTATTACCTTCTCTTTCTTCTTCGTCTTCTTTGTTTTGTTGTTGATGACCTCCCCTTCCACCTAGAGAGAAGAACCCAGCCATCTCTTGCACTCAAAAGCTATAACAATATCCAATTCAGAGATAACATCCATAGCAGAATAAGCTTCCCGAATCTTAAATTTATTTTTCACACTACAACTGTAATATTTTTTATTTATTTTATTTTTTTCAATTTTCTTTTTTTGGGCTTTCTAGTGCTAAGTGTGTGTTTGCTGACAGTAATACTAATTGCTAGGTTTGCTAATTAATTTCCACCCACTCGATCTTTCTTTCTTTTTTTATTTATTTATTTAATTTTTTTTTTGTCTTGTTGACTCTCACTCTGTCACTGTGGCAAGGCCGTGTGGGGGCGTGAGGGCGTCTCAACTCTCAAGTATGATCTTCTGGTCTGGTTGGGTTTTTTTTTTTTTTTTTTTTTTTGCAGCTTTTGAGGAAAACCGTTTCTTAAAGAAAAAATAATGAAAAAAAAGAAGAAGGAAAAATAGAGTGTTCAGTTGATGTTGCTTAATTCTCTTCAATTCGTTGTTCCCTCAACGCAATTATAGGACGGAATTAGAGCCTCTGCTACGCCGCCATGATCCTGCACCCATCCACTCTACTGTAGAAATCTCATTTATGAATTACGGTCACAATTCACAAACTCTCTCTCTCTTGGAAGAATACAGACTGGCTTTGTAGGTGTAGTGGGTTGTTTGTTGTTGTGGCTCAGACTCAGACTCGAACTGAGAGTGTTATTAGTGTGTGTGAGAATGTGTGCGTGGGTGAACATGAAAATCTATCACTCGTCACTTCTCACACACTGTTCTCTTTCAGTTTCAATAGATCTCGGCCTCGTTCTTTTACCATCCAACGGACACTATTATTCCACGTGTCATGTCATTAGCTTTTGCTTATTCGTCCTTGCACCGGAAAACCCGCTAGTACTTTCTCTGACCATCTCCATAATTGAGATTGTTTTATTTTCCGATTTTTGTGTTAAGCAATCTACCCAGGAATGGAAATGCTAATATGCTCCATCACTCACATGCACCTGGGTCTCTCATTCTATCTATCATGTCTCCATCACCGCTCAAATATTTCACTTCATCATCAAACCCAAATCATACGGCTCTCAGAGATCACATCCGCATATACATAATGTAAAAGATATTGAATAAAATTATAAGGGAAAAGTATTTGTCCACACAATTTGTGTCATTTCATTCTCATGAAAAAATGAAATTCATTTCTTTATTTTTTTCTTCATTTTTTCTCCCATGATGTATCTCTTTCTCTTACTTAAATGACACACACTTTTTCTCAAATTATAATTAATTAAAGGGTTCACTTTTTCTGCCGTTACTGCATATAAGTTATCTGCATTAAATCTAATACGACGTCGTTTTGAGGCAGAAATCATGATATTTTTATAATTTTAATTTATTTCAGGGTTATTATAGTCTTTATAATTATAATTTTTTGTTATTTTAATTTCAAAATGACGTCGTTTTGAGAATAAATGCAGATAACTTATCTGCAACTGCAGAAATATTTTTCTGTAAATCTTTAATTAATATAAGGTAGAGTAGTGTAAGGCTAAGTCAATGTTAAAATTGAATCATAATTAAATAAGTTGTTGGTTTATGATTATTATTTATCTTCGTTTTGAAACCAAAATTTAGAAGGAATAAACAAATATTTTGGATATTAAAATAAAGTTGGTTGCATGTATGCAAGAAACCCGGTTGGGTTTTTGCATATTCTTTGGAGGGTATTTATTAGTTTGTGTAGAAAAAAAAAACTATAGAAAGTTGATAAGTTATGTTACTTATTAATTACTTCTGCACAAGTAGCCTTTTTCTTTGAACAAATAACAAATGGTTTATTTCTGAGAAATAAATACGTGATAAGTGATAAGTTATCTTACTTACGTTTTTACGTGAGTGGTGCGTGTTAAAACATAAGTAAAAACTGTCCTTAGTAAAAACTGATAAAAATAACACGTAAAAATTGTAAAAACTTACGTTTTTACCGTTTTTACTTAAAACTACATTTTTTTTAAAATAAAGATTTACAAAAAAAAAAATTAAAAAAACCCTATATTTCATTTTTCCCAAATCATATGCACAATATCTTAATATCTTTTTGTTTGAATATATGTCTTTCATAATTATGTCTTATAAAGCTACAAAAAAAGAATGATATCCTGATGAGCGATGATCCAAAATCTGCAGAGTATATGAAGCAGTTAGAGGATGTTGGTTATCCATTACTTGTTAGTTATTATTGTTTATAATCTTGATACTTGGTTATCAATTTTTTTCTTCTTAGATAAATATGTGGTTCAACACACATGTTTATTATGAGATTTTTTTTACATGCATATATATAGATAGATATATATATATATATATATATATATATATATATATATATATATAATTTTGTATCTTGACCTCAAATAGTAGAAAGTAAAAACTTTACATTTCGTGTCGTTTTTACATTTTATGTTTTTATAACCCATTTTCATTTCTACGTAGAAACTAGAGTCTGAGAACATTGGTCTCGGTTGTAGTGTAATTTTACCTGCCTGGTGCCTGTATTTTCAGTTTTCTTAGGTATGTTTGGATTAATTTTTTTTATTTTTTCTTTAAAAATTACTTTTTTTCAGAAGAAAAAAAAGCATATTTTAGAAAAAGTCTATTTTGGATACTTATTTTAAAAAAAAAAGAGAAGTTATAAAAAAAGTCAAAAATTTATTTTTTTTAGAAAATAAAAAATTTAACTTTTAAAAAATAAAAAAAATCAAAAGTTAAATATTTTTTTAAAAAAATTAAATATTTTTAAAAAAATTTCTAAAATAAATAAAGCATAAAAAATACTTCTTTCGAAGTCGATCGAAACGGGTTCTTAATCTATTCCAACCTCGTCCCACGCCTCGTATTCCACTCAAAATTCTAGGCGTAATCATTATATGATTGACTCGCAATTTGAAATAATGTATTGTTAATTGCTGGATAATTGATTTTTGGAATATTAGAATTTGGAAATGCGACCTACGTGCTACTCGACAGAGGCAGCACTGGCAAGTGGATACGGGAAGCGTGTTGATTACAGTTTTTAATGATTGGTTAACCTGAGAGCTTAAAGCATAAAATATTATTAATTATTTAAAAATTAAATACTTATATATTTTTCATTTAATATTTTTTTATTTCTTAATATGTGATTAAAGAACAGAGAGTAACAAAGTCTTTAATTTTAAGCTAAAACTAATCCATTTCATTGTATAATTTAAGGAAAAATATACTTTTATGTTGTAAGAGAGAGTTTTTCTCTCCTATAAATACATCGATTTTCGTATTACTTTTTATTTCTTTTTTTCTATAATAGGTAAATCTCACACATGATTATCTCTATTACATGAGAGAGTTCTCTCCTATTGCATGAGATTAATAAAGCCATAATTTAAACTCACCTGCTTTAATTTTAGACCTTCCATCGTGAACATGGATCACACAAAGACCTCGACTAATGTGATTATTGTTTCACGTTTCATGATTACCATATTTAACGGTTGATAAATTTTTCATTGTTGCTTCCATGACTTCCATGACTCCGCTAACTTCAGGGTTTTTCGATCTTGTTTCCATTTGTCTTTTAAGAGTACCACCGATTCATCATTATGAGAGTGATACTGATGGATAGGACTATAGGAGAGTCTGACCTTAATTACGCGTAACTCACATGTTACCTGACGCGGTATGCGAAGACATACCTACATTTGAAAGAAATAAAAAATAATAAAATGTTATGGCTTTTCAATGATATGACATATTTTCATCACAAAGAATGTGTTCAAATAATTAAAATTCGTTGTGGGTTGACGCACATATTATATGTAGTGACTATAGAAACAATCTTAAATTAAATAGTGGTAACTCAAGTTACTAGTAAGGAAGTTCACTAGAAAAAAAAATAAAGTCTTGCGGTTCGATTCCTATATATCATATTTCGGAAAGGTTTAAATATTTCCTTACCTGACTGCTCCGTACTTCAGATTAATTTTATAGCCGATTTAAAGAGTGGATATGGAGATACCAAAGAAGTCAACTCGCCTGAAAGAGATAATTATGGTTGGGTGTTAACTCGAAAAAAAAAATTGCTAATCAACGTTAACTCCTTACTATCCAAAAATTGAGAGGATGTGAAAATCCAATGTAACAAACCATAAGTTCTTACTGCCTTCCAAACGAGAATATATTTCTTGTCCAAAGAAAAAACAAAAGCAAATTGAATATTATACGTTCTTCAAGTATGGGCTATAAAACAAATTTTGCATTGTTATTAATTAAGTCATTTCATGTGAGAAAACTGTTCCGGTTGACCTGTGCTGAGCCTCATTAATTGTTTGTTTCAAAATTTCAAATAATAGTCCAAGAGATTAGATTCCAGAATATTGTTTCATGTGCTAACTTGTTCGTTGAAAAATACCGCGTTAATTTGTAATTTCATGGACCGTGACTCCATGGTCATATCATATTTCCTAGTTCCTACAGTATGCATAGCTGGTTATATATAGTTGTTTGCTCTTGTTCACCGAATTTCTAGAAGTAAATGTTGCAATAGCAATGCAAGTCCTGAGAGAGAGAGAGAGAGAGAGAGAGAGAGAGATGGAGACGAAAGAAAATTTGGAATTGGTCAATTTGTAAGGATGCATGAAGCAAGCAGCCTCATGCTCAACTAGCTTAGCTAGCTAGCTGTCATTTGTAGAAAGCGAGAGGCACACACAAATACAAACTCGTTCAAAATCCAAATTAAAAGGGAAGCATATTAGACAATGGAGCTAACAGGGCAAGTACCCTTAATTAAGTAGAAGCAAATAGTAAATGAACGCTGTCCACGGGACTCAAAATCAAATGAAAAACTCACTATCAATGATTCAATAGCACGTGAACCGCCCCAAATGTAATTAATTTAAGACCACTAATAATTGATTCCAATAATATAACTAGACCTGGTAAAACTGCCCATTTTAATGGGTTAATTGGTATCCGGTTGTT